AGGGATGCTTTCCGTTTTGCCTAAAGGCACTGAAATAAGAGCATTCGTCCTGTGCGTTTTCAATTCACAATTATTTACCTAAATCTAAGATATTAGCCGTAAGCGCCACGTGATTTCTCTGCTTTGGTACTTTGTACTCGATATTTCTAATCCATGAAAGAAGCTCATTTGCGTATCACATTTGTTTAAAGCTGACCACCGCTTAATTTCAAGGCTTTCTTCTAATAATGTCACTTAATCAGTTTCTACATAGTTTTATTTTTTTGCAACATACACTGTTGGTAGATTTTCCATAATTTTTCTTCTTTCCAGAGGAGATGATTTTTATAAAATCAAGATTCGCATAAAGTTTACTCAGACTCGAATGCAGGCTGTCTATGTATGATTATTTAGTTGTTTCTCAACTCACGTAAGCCTAATCTTCCCTTTTTTTATATATTTATATATCTGTCCTTTTTTCCGAGAAAGTGAAATTTTCTTTGAATTCTTTGAATCGAATTTCAAAAGTATATCAGAGACATAAGAAAGGTTCTCTTCAAGAGATGCAGTATGTATGTCAGTATGGGACGAGAAAGAATAAACAGCATTCAGCAAAAGCGGGGTTGAACTCAATGCATAACAATGACATGGCAACCATTCGATTTTGGTATTTCAGTGTTAACATTTTTCATTTCAAAAGATGCGTTCTTTTTTCCAACCATGCCATTTCAAGGTTGTACATTACGCGAAACTTGGAATCAATTGTCTCCTTAACGAGAGTTATTATCCCATCTTTCACCTTATACTTTTATGTTTCCTTTTGCTTTCTATTTGCGTAAAAACGAGTCTAAAATTTAAAGTTTTGAGTTAGTAATTTTAATTGGCCAACGTAAAGACGTTCCTATTGCTGTTGTTGGTTTTGGCTTTTTAATTTTTTTCAAAAGGGCTCTATTTTGCTGATAGTTTCCCCCGTGTTTGATATGAATCAATATACAAATAAATATGTTATTTGTATTTGGAAAGA